CTGTGATCCCAGCACTTTGGGAGGCCGAGGCGGGCGGATCACGAGGTCAGGAGATCGAGACCATCCTGGCAAACAAGGTGAAACGCCGTCTCTACTAAAAAAATGCAAAAAATTAGCCAGGCGTGGTGGCGGGTGCCTGTAGTCCCAGCTACCCAGGAGGCTGAGGCAGGAGAATCGCTTGAACTCAGGAGGCAGAGACTGCAGTAAGCTGAGCTTGCACCAATGCGTTCCAGTCTGGGTGACAGAGTGAGAGTTCGTCTCAAAAAAAAAAAAGAAAAAATTAAATGGGCCTGGTGGCATGCACCTGTAGTCCCAGCTGCTTGGGAGGCTGAGATGGGAAGATCACTTGAGCCCAGGAGGTGGAGGCTGCAGTGAGCCAAGATCGCACCACAGCACTCCTGCCTGGGCAACAGAGGAGGACTCTGTCTCAAGAAAACCCAAAATGATTAAGACGGTAAATTTCATGTGCATTTACCACTATTAAAATAAAAAAAACAGGCCAGGCACAGTGGCTCATACCTGTAATCCCAGCACTTTAAGAGGTCAAGGTGGGCAAATCACCTGAGGTCCCGATCTCAAGACCAGCCTGGCCAACATGGTAAAACCCTGTCTCTACCAAAAATACAGAAATAAGCTGGGCATGGTGGCGCATGCTTGTAATCCCAGCTACTCGGGAGGCTGAGGCATGAGAATCACTTGAAACTCGGAGGTGAGGTTGCAGAGCCAGCCACTGCACTCCAACCTGGGTGAGAGAGCCAGACTCCATCTCAAAACAATAAAAAATTTTTAAAAAAAACAAAAAAAACAAAAAAAAACCTCTCAATATAAATTATCTCTGTAAGGCCAAAGGGCAAAAAGAAAATAGATACAGAAACTAAATAAAGTACATACTAAACAGACCTTCAGATAATTTCTTACTTCTGTATTCAGAGATTCTGGAGAGAAAAGAGTTGGTGAAAAAAAAAAAAACTTACGGAAAACTAAGTGGTCAATTTCTGAAATCACTGGTTCATAAATAAGTGGGGATCCTGACAACAGTGTCTCTTTATCAGGTTAACAGTAGTTTGTTAAATTCAAAACAAATCTATTCCACAAGGCTTTACAACTATAGACAACTGCTTGAAGTAAGGGTCTCTTCTCAAATATTAAAATTTTCAGAACAGATAAAAGCACAGAAGGCCCGATGTGTTGAAATGAATGACTAAATTTTGCCGCCACACATCCATATCAAAAGCTACTAAAACAATATACTATGCCATAAGGCTAAATTTTACCTGCTACCAATGTCTTCAATAGAAGGGATTCCATGGAACTAACAGGAGAAAGCAGTGCTGATTCCAGCACGTTCAATGCTGTGGCACTGAAAGACTTCAGCAGCTCTGGGTTATCCTCAGTCACTGTCTGCAAACAATATGCTATAAGGCAAAACATAAATATTTAGAAACAAATGAATTCTGCTTTGGATAATTTATACCAGTATAATTCATCAAGAAAACGTTGTATCGTTACCACTTCATTAGATACACATAGCTTTTGTAGAATATATATGCTTTATCTCAGGGTGATATGCACAAATGAGGCTTCCCAAACTATCAGTGCTGGAAAAGACGTTTCTTTTCTTTTTAAATTTCTAATGCTGAACAGATGTATACTTTTTTTTTTTTTTTTTTAGACAGCCTTGCTCTGTCACCCAGGCTGGAGTGTAATGGCGCATCTCAGCTCACTGCAACCTCTGCCTCCCAGGTTCCAACAATTCCTGTGCCTCAGCTTCTCAGGTAACTGGGATTAAAGGCGTGCGCCACAATGCCTGGCTAATTTCTATATTTTTAGTAGAGACAATTTCACCATGAAGGCCAGGCTGGTCTGGAACTCCTGGTCTCAAGCGATCTGTCCATTTCGGCCCCTCAAAATGCTGAGATTACAGGCATGAGCCACCACATTCAGCCAGATCTACACTTTTTTTTACAAAATACAATTACAAAGACTCTTTTTTTTTTTTTTTGAGATGGAGTCTCACTGTGTCGCCTAGGCTGGAGTGCAGTGGCACAACCTCGGCTCGCTGAAAGCTCTGCCTCCTGGGTTCACACCATTCTCCTGCCTCAGCCTCTTGAGTAGCTGGGACTACAGATGCCTGCCACCATGCCCAGCTAATTTTTTGTATTTTTACTAGAGACGTGGTTTCATCTTGTTAGCCAGGATGGTCTCAATCTCCTGACCTCGTGATCCGCCCGCCTTGGCCTCCCAAAGCGTTGGGATTACAGGTGGGAGCCACCATGCCCGGCCTAAAAAGACTCTTAAATGTAGCAATGTCGTTACTATAAATGTTTATAAAAGCTTATCCTCAGGCCGGGCGTGGTAGCTCATGCCCGTAATCCTAGCACTTTGGAAGGCCGAGGCAGGAGGATCACCTGAGGTCAGGAGTTGCAGACCAGCTTGGCTAACATGGCAAAACCCCATCTCTACTAAAAATACAAAAATTAGCTAGGCATGGTGATGCATGCCTGAAATCCCAGCTACTTGGGAGGCTGAGGCAAGAGGATAGCTTGAACCCTGGAGGCGGAGGTTGCAGTAAGTCGAGATTGTGCCACTGCACTCCAGCCTGGGTGACAGATCTGAGACTCCGTCTCAAAAAAAAGGCCAGGCGTGGTGGCTCACGCCTGTAATCCCAGCACTTTGGGAGGCCGAGGCAGGCGGATCACAAAGTCAGGAGATCGAGACCAGCCTGGCTAACACAGTGAAACCCCATCTCTACTGAAAATACAAAAAATTAGCCAGGCGTGGTGGCGGGCGCCTGTAGTCTCAGCTACTTGGGAGGCTGAGGCAGGAGAATGGCGTGAACCCGGGAGGCAGAGCTTGCAGTGAGCCGAGATCGCATCGCTGCGCTCCAGCCTGGGCGACAGAGCGAGACTCCCATCACAAAAAAAAAAAAAAAAAAAAAAAAAAATTTACCCTCAATTTATGTACTTATCAAGGACCAGTAGCAAACAGTCCTAGGTTTTGGAATGTCTGGCTTCCTTTAAATTTATCATGACCTTCAAAGTTAGGATTTCTGGTGGAGCAAGAATTCTTTAAGAAAAAAAGTAGTTTATATAAAAGTATGAGCAAATTAAGACCTGTAAAATATTAAATCACGCCCATCAAAATTACTTAAAATGCAAGTTACTGCTGTGATCGACAATATATTTACATAGAAATCCATATATATGCATTTCTGTATATATATTCAAATGTAGTATCTTTGTCATTAAGAAACTAATTTACTTTAGCTAACAGCCATGATTGCTACCATACAAGTTCAAAAAAAGTTATATGAATACATGGGACGGAATCTTGTAGTTCATTTTACTATATGTAAGCATTGCTTGACTTTAGAAGTAAAAGTAATAATGTATTTTAAAAATCATTAATCTAGCTACATGCAGAAGGAAAACACTATTATGCAATGCAAAATGACTTTATTCTAATCCATTTCAAAAATGCTCATTAAGGGGAAGAAAAGCTAAAAATAGAAATAAATCTGTAAGACTAAAGGCAGAAAAATAGAAGTGGTTTTTCTTTTAAAACATATGAACTAACTTTCCTGAAATTCTCTTATTGTAACAAAAACTGTCCTCTGAGATTAAGTCACCTACCAAATTCCTAAAAATGGCTGAATTGTTTTTAAAATCCCCATTTACTCACAGCTCCCCAAACCCACCAAGATTCCATTTGGAGAAATGATTTTTAAAATTTTCTCAGTAGTATTTATTCTAGTATTTTCCCCCAATTCTGTTCTCTTAAAAATATCCATTAGAGTCAAGAGAAACAGCAGTCAGGGGAATACACTTCTTCCTCCCCAGAAGAAATGTAGTTCCACAAAGGGACAGCTGGACACCTGCCATAACGATGGGGAGAAAAGAAATGCTCTCCCTCAATTGTTTCTCCACTCCCACCCAGCATTCTGCTGAGCTGCCCATGCTCTGGTTTCTGCCTGCTGCCATTGAGCTGAGGGTCCCCAGTGGCTCCTCAGTCCAATAAAGAGAAGGCAAGGCAGCCAAGGCCACTGAAGTTGCTGGACTTTGCCTTCCCTGTCTCATGGAAGGCACGCAGGCCTAAGTGGAATTTCAATCACTTCTTTTTCTCTTTCTCTCTCAACAAAACTCAGGCTGTCAGTTTTCTGCCAGAAGTATGAGATAGTAGCATAACACATTTAAGTAAGTTTAGATTCCAATTAACTGGCTTAAAGACCTGGTAGTTGTGGGTTACTGTTTCTTAGTAAATGGAGATGAAAACTTTAAGAATTAATAAAGGCTGCTAAGAATGAAAACAGGCCAGAAACCACATATCTTCACATAATTACCTTTCTCCCTTTCAGAGCCAAAAGCAGAAAAATTGAATGAGCAGGTAAAGAATTAATATTAATCACAGATTTAAGAAGACCCAGAAAAAACAGGTGCTGAGCTACACATTCACATACAATGAGAAAAAAAATCACTCCAGTGGAATAAACACACTAAAGCTGCATGAAAATTTTTGAACAAGGCTACACATTCTTAATAAGTCATCACCTTTTCTTCACTTACCTACTGAAATAGCCAGGTCAACATTGGTAGGAAACCTACTTAAATACTTTAACACAATCTCCAAACACCCTTCTTTGTTGAATATAGACACTGCTCTACTACTGCATTCACTAAATTGAAGGGGGAAAAAAAAGTTTTACTATTCACATTTTAACAGTAGGAAATCAACCATAGCAATCCATAAAAAAACAAATCAGGCTTTATAAACCAAGGAGTTGGAATCAAACACCCACCATTTTTATCGATGAAGGAACTAACACCCATTCACATTCACTATACATGAGAACTGGCTATCTATATTTTATCTCTATCACAGTGGGACCTTTTCATCAATCTCTTTGCCATGATGCCAGTTTCCTTATAGAAGGTTAAAGCTGGAAGAGATCTTGTAAATCGTTTAATTCAACTCCCCATTTTATAAATGCAAAGACCCAGGACCCAAGCGGTAATGTGGCCCATCAGAGAGCAAATATTTTGTCAGCGGTAGAGCCAGGCCCAGTACCTAGGTTCCCTGGGTCCAGCCTACTGTTTTTTTCTTCCCTCTATACCACAACAATAACAAGTTAAAGGAGGATAAAAGGCCTCTATACTTATCACACAAAAACACAAATTTATATTTTTTTAACCTACTATATTTTAGAACATTAACAAAAACACAAATTTAAAGGAAAATAAAATTATATTTTATTCAAGCCTTTTAGAGTGCAATCATAATTTCATCAAGCAGAATTTGCAGTCTACAATAAATTACAGTAAGTATTTTTAAAATTATACTACCTTTTAATAAAAAACTCAGACAGCTATCAGTGTTATGAATAAGCAAACACATTAAATATGAGTAAACAAGGCTAATTATAATAATTGTATCCATGTTTCCAGAGGAAATATCCATGTTGTGTGTTTCCTCCATACATACAACATACACACATGACATGCTAAGAGCTAACAGAGCTGACTAAATTATTAAACTAAATCTGTTATGTGATGAAAAATATTTCATATCTTCTATCTACCTACCTATCTACCTAGTTATGGTAGCATGAAGGAGACCACTGTCTAGTCAGGAAGATAAGCCATACATGTGTAAAGATAATTTGAAATATAAATTATGAAACAAGAATGTTAAAAGTAACTCAGTGATACATACAGGGCTCACAGGTATTCAGAAAAGAGAAATCACCTTGGAGATATATTCAGATTCTTTTCAAGGAAATTTTTAAAAAATTTCCAAATGCAACGATTTCTGACTCAAAGTTATCTGGTGCACAGAAAAACAGTACCCATCAGTTTTTGCTCAAATGCCATTTCCTCAGATCTGATCTCTCTAATATTTGTGGTGGAATGCATTCAGTAAAATGAAATCACAGGCAAGGTCAGATTGCTACATAGGCATTTCAGGATCCAACTTAATCTTGTATTCTAAGAAACATCTGTGCTTTTAGGTCAGCCACTGTAATTGCTGCTGACTGAAGATAAGAAACTGTGACCCAGTCTTGCTAGAAATGTGGGACATAAAATGGGGCAGAAAAAAGTAAATCCAGGTTGGGTTTCTAGCCATTTCCATTCCTAATAGCAAGTCCACTCCACCCTCACCACTGCTACAATCACAGAATGGAGGGTGGCCTTCTTCCTCCAGGGGCCAAGGGAGCTCTTCTTAGGCATCCACTTCCCACTCAGACGGTAACCACCAGGGGAGAGGAAGAAAAGCACCAGCCAAGGTCTGTGGTCCCCATCTTAGTCTAGAGGCCAAACCAAAGCTGCACCTGCATCTGGGCCTGACCAGCTTAAAGACAAATTTTTCTCAGGGTGCACAGGAAGTCATGGGAAAGGAGGAGCCACAGGTTCTAGTGGTCATGAGTCCTCCTATTTTTTGTCAGGTGCAATGACTGGAGAGGAAAGCCGTAAAACAAAAGATGCAGTGATGCAATGAGGAAAGGGATTGGGGAGGAGGGTCGATCTTAGGTCACCTGATCCTACCTCCTACCAGGTCTTTTTTTTTTTTTTTTTTTGAGATGGAGTTTCGCTCTGTCACCCAGGCTGGAGTGCAGTGGCATGATCTTGGCTCACTGCAAGCTCTGCCTCCAGGGTTCAAGCGATTCTCCTGCCTCAGCCTTCTGAGTAGCTGGGATTACGGGCATGTGCCACCACACTCGGCTAATTTTTTTATAGTTTTGGTAGAGACGGGGTTTCACAGTGTTGGCCTCAAACTCCTGACCTCAAGTGATCCACCCGCCTCGGCCTCCCAAAGTGCTGGGATTACAGGCATGAGCCACCACGTCCGGCTCCTACCAAGTCTTAACATCCCAGATTAACAGGCCTACTAAGGGGAACAGAGATTCCCACACAGTATAACAGAGAATAGCAGCCTGGGTACTGCTATAGCAGGAGGCTGTGTTTGGAAGGCATCTTACCATATATTCCACAGCACGTTCACAGCCTCATTGGCTATGTTCTCAACAGAATTTCTGTTCTGATCTTTTTTCTCCTGCAGGGACATCTCATTTGAATCCAGTCCAGCACTACACTGTAACCAAATATCATGATTAGCACCCTGGTTCCAAAGAAGAATTAAACAAATAGGGTAATGATGGTGATGAAACACAAAGGCTAGACATCAGAAATTACCGTGGTTAACAAGTCAATCGAATCCTTACAAGCAGTAGTACAAAATCAATACAAAGTATTTTACCTAATAAATGTAATAAAGGACAGTAAGAAGGCAACGAAAGATGAAATAAGAGCTTCTACCTAGCGCCTTCCGTTTTTTTTATTACATAGCACCTTCTAAGGTACTATTCTAAGCTTTTTACATGTATCAAATCATTTAATCCAAACAATAAACCTATGAGGTAGGATGACTATTATTATCGCCAATCTCCAGCTGCAAATGGGAAAGTGAGGTACAGGGAGGCTGCTGAAGGTGTTAGATTAGCATGTGGTGAAGCTGGGATTCAGGTCCCAGCATTTGGCTCCAAAGCTGGTGCTCTTAAGCTCCTCTAGTACAGACCAGGAGACACTCTAAAGCAAGGTTTCTCAATCCAGGTACTACTGAAATTCTCCACCAGAAAATTCTTTGTTGGGGAAGGAAGGGCTATCATGTTCATTTGGGGATGTTTAGCAGCATCCCTGGCCTCTACCCACTGGATGCCAGTAGCAACTTTTACCCCACAAGCTCTGTAACAACCAATGTCTCCAGACATTGCCAGTTGTGCCCTGTGAAGCAAGATCATACCCAGTTGAGAATCACTGCTCTAAAACGACTGATGCCTCTCATCAAAACTGGATATGCTTTACGTAGCCTTAACTGAAAATTACCCATCAATACAGAATAGCAGACCAGAGGCACTCCAGAGAGAAAGCTCCTTAACCTCTTAACTATGTCATGCAATAAGACTGGAATGAGGTCAAACACGAGAACTTACTGTAATCTTCACAAGTTTCTAATGTCTGTGCCTCGGCTTTGTCATCTGTAAAATGGGAATAATACCTGCCTCATAGGATACTGTGAGGATTAAATTATATAATATCCAAAATATGAAAATAATACCTGGCACATAAATAAGCAATGACTAAACACTAATTATTTTTATTGTAAGAAGTTTAACATCTACAGGAGTGAGTCTGTACAGTTTTAGGCAGGTCTTTTCTAACTATCATAAAAATAAAGCTACAAAATAATAGAGATTAGTATCAATTAAGAGAGTAGATTGGTGTTTCCAGGAAAAGGAATGAAATTTCCACAGGATGTTTACATAGAACACAAAGTCACTAACACCAAAGTAATACAAAAACTCTAAGTTTGCATCCCAAAAGCTACCATCAAGATATTGTAAAAACTGCATACCTCTTTTAGCAGCACAACCAGAGGGGTCATGATATCCTTAGTCACCATGTCATCACAAACTTCAAAACCTCCACAAGCACTGAGATTTCTACACAAGAAATTTAAAACATGTTTTACTTCCACATCACATGTCACAGAACACTTCTACCCTCTCACATTTCTATTTTTAGCCATATTTAAGGTTTCCCAGAGGAAATAGCTTATTGTTTCTGTCATATGCTGCAGAACCAATCCAGAGATTTCCACCTGTTCTATTCCGATCTTTGTTCTACAAGATATAAACAGATGACGCTGTCATATAACAACTTAGTTCTGAGGTTTGAGACAGTATACAAGTACATGGCTACAAGAAGGGAAGTGGGGAGACTTTTCCCATGTGAATAAATCACATCATGTATGAAGGGACCTTTTCTTGGAATCAAGACTACAAGGGCAAGGCTAGGTGCTGTAGCTCACACCTGTAATCCCAGCACTTTGGGAGGCCTAGGTAGGAGGATTACTTGAGCTCAGGAGTTCAAGACCAGCCTGGGCAACATAGGGAGACCCTGCTTCTAAAACAAGAAAAAAAAAAAAAAAGAAAAAGTGAACTGCAAGGGCAGCAAGGTGGGGCTACTGAGAATGATACTCCCTAAAGCAGCCCTGGGTAAATTTAATTGGAAAGACATGACTTCCGAGTACACAGCACTGTGCTAGTACCTAAGGATATAGAGATAGTCAGAAGATGCCCTCACAATCCGCCAGGATCCCCTAGCCTGTGTATGCTGTGGGAGGAAGCGAAGGGCTTTCCACATGCTGTTTCCTCCCTAGAGGAAGAAGAGCGTCTATCTTCCCTCCATCAACTGGTGAATGCCCATTCATCCCTCAGAGCTCACCTCCAGCACCACTCAGAGTCTTCTTCCCTGAACCCTTTGTTTGTACCCTCCTGTAGCATCCCTTGTCACTATCATTCATTGTAATTATACACTTACGTAACTGTTTGGTTAATGCTTGTCTCCCTCAATAACTTTAAGATTTCTTAAGGAGAGACATTGCCTTGCTCATTACCCCATGCCCAGAGCCTAGCTCAGTGTCTAGCACACAGGCACTTATACATATTTGCTATATCAGTGAATGAAATATAAATAACAAGTAGAGACAGAGCTACAAGAACTACAAATACTAACTTCTACTCTTGCCCCCTCTGCAGTCCATTCTCTGCACAGCCAGCAGAGTGGCCTTCTCAAAAGGTGAGTTACAGCATGTCTCTTCCCTGCTTAGATTAAGTCCTCAGCCCTACACCAATCGTACAGCTCATCTCTCTCTCCAGCCTCACCTCCTGTAATTACCCACCCCTGCTCTTTTCTGCCACCTACCTACCCGCTCTGCTCTTTAACCACATCAAGCCGCCTGCTGCTTCGCTTCTTTGCTGCTGCTGCTCCCTTTGTGGGAAATGCTCTTCCCCCTATTTTCCCATGTCTCCTGGCTCTCTCACCCTGCAGATCTCCGTTCACAAGCCATCTAAAGAGCACCTTTTTTTTTTTTTTTTTTTTTTTTTTTTGACACAGGGTCTTGCTCTATCACCCAGGCTGGAGTGCAGTGGTGTGATCATGCCTCACTGCAGCCTCGAACTCCTGGGCTGAAGCGATACTCCCACCCCAGTCTCCTGAGTAGCTGGGATAAAGGGCACCCACCACCATGCCTGACTAATTGTTTAAAACTGTTCTAGAGACGGGGTCTTGCTATGTTGCCCAGACTGGCCTTGGACTCCTGGCCTCCAGTGATCCTCCTTCCTTGGCCTCCCAAAGCAATGGGATTACAGGCGTGAGTCACCGCGCCCGGCCCAGGAGCACCCAATTCAAACTTCCCACCCCCAACTTATCATCATCTCGTTTTCCCACAGCAATTCTCACTATGTAATATTATGTTTTACCTTTTTACTAGCTTCCTGTCTGTCTCCCCATCAACATGACTTGTGCCAAGACAGGGGATCTTGGCTGTCAACAGATCTCGCTCAACAGTCTTGGCTGCTCAAAATTCCCTGCATCTAGAACGACTCCTGACACATGAATTGAAGAGTTCATCCAAGCAAGGGACCCTAAGGAGGGCTTTTGGAGAGGGTAAAACGTGCGCAGGTGTGACGCTTGAGCAGGTGGACGCTGCAGGTGAAGCAGCCAGGTGGACAGATGAGATGCGTGTGGTTCGGGGATACTGGGGTTCTCTGGAGCCTGGAGACTGGCTTCAAATCTCTGCAAACGGGAGACCGGGCCAGGGCCTGGTGGCACACAGAAGGCGCTGGCTGACCGCTGCGACCGCCCGCAGCCCAGGCGCGGGGGAGGCTAGAAGTGG